TCCGTACCCTTTCGTACTGTTCTGGTGTTTCTTTCCATGACCAAGTATCCACGTAACACTGAAAAAAAGCGTATGATACGTCATTTTACAGGGAATATCGAATTGAGTGCTTGGATGGCTTCCGACTTAGTGTGTGTGCAGCACTAATCCAATTCATTGCAATTCAGTCAGGAGAGTAGAATGATTTCTGTGCAGCGTTGTCTTTACGCTTCGTTCTCACGTCTTCCGCCACAGGGTATGAAAGTCTAAGTCGAGTGTCGAGGGAGCTCGCCATTTCCTTGCCAAATCTATTTCAATTTGCCACCGAGACGCTGTTCCGACGACACTAAGGTAATTACAGTGATAAATAAAATTCCAACCGTGTGTCGTTGCTAACCACTTACAATAGATACCAATTCGGCAGGGAATCCGAGTCCCCTAAGACGAGAACTACACGTGGCCCAGTCACCCCGACACGCGAAAAAAACACTTAGATCAGAAAGATTAAAGCTGCAGATGTAATCTAGTAGTAGTTTTGAGAAAATGCGAGGTGAGCACTTCGCATAGGTAACTGTATCCCGGCATGCACGTCGACATGTAATGAGACAATGGAAGCTCGGTTAATTGGACCTTTCTCAGCTAATTAGTTTTGTCAGAGTCAGGTCTTGCGGTTCTCACCGCTACATGGCGACTGGCAGAGGCCAGTATCAGGTGCTGGATGGGATATTAACGACCCGAGTGTCGAGGTGTCCGGTATTCGATACCGGCCAAGAGTTTACCAATTCCGTAGTCGGCACCGAATTCGATACTGCGCGTCAAATATTTAAATATACCGATCCGCTGATGTTTATTTATTAATTCGGCCGGATGCGCCCGTCGAAACCCGTTTCAGACGTAATTAAAACCAATCTGACCGAAAGTAACAAAGAAAAAAACCCGGTGGCCGATCGGGGGGTAGGAAAAAAGAGCGAGAGAATGTAAGTTGACAATGACGAGACAGGACGCCCCTATTGTGACGTCGGAGAACGAAAAATGCAGACAATTATTTGAAAGCAAGGACAGATATTTGAGAGGCAGAAGAATGAAGTGAGAAAGAGTCCGTCTAAGTCGGGCGAACGAATCATTTGTCGTGTTGTCGTCGTCTACGTCTCTGAACTCGCGGCTTCTCGACTCCTGATTAAATTTTCCCTGGAAAGACCAAATTCCACGCGCATCGTATCCTAGCAACGGCGCGGACAGAGTTCCAGGTAGGGACCTCTTCACTAGGTTTGTGACGTCCCGTGACTCTTCCTGAAAGAACTGATCGAGACGGCACCACTCGAGTTCGACGGAGCGAAGACCCCTCGATTGCTACGCGTGACCATGATAAAATTGGTAAAGTCGGCCCTTGTGGAACCGACATTAATGCCGGATGTAAATTGAAATGAGGAAATTTTAAAACCTTATTTGCAATGTTTGCTCTGGGAGGGGAGGAGAAAAGTGTATTTTTCTCTGGTCAGCTCTCTGTATCATCCGCAGATCCGAAGGCAAACATCCTGGCGGGAAGTGACGCCGGCATCACGTGACGGAAGTGTGAACACAGATTACATCCGCCAATAAAACAGTTTGTCTATTTTACATAGGATAAAGCTGACGAGTGTGAACAAACATTGCTGACGTCATTTCTGGCCCGGAAATTACTTGTAAAGTTATCTGAAAGGTTTAAGCTTAAGTGAGATTCTCTCCAAGTAATTGGCAACGGAGAGTTGTAAGTTTGTAAATTGCTCTTGCCGATAAATCTGGGAGTGCGGACCTTCGAACAAAATGACCCTCTGCCCCGTCTAAAATTTTCGTGCTCCGTTAAGCCGAGATTATTTAAGAAAAGGCCATAAATAACAGAAAGAAATGAAGAATTCTGCCATCGTTTTAAAGTCGGTTTAATTTTCAACAAACGTATCGAATTGAAAGGAGAGAGCAAAAAAGACAACATTGGTCTGTCAAGAAATTTAAAATATGAAGTCTTGGAGATGTGCAGTCAAGACGGGAATGAATGGCTTCTGTGGCGTCGTTGTCTCATTTGTCAACAAATGCGTGACACTCTTTACACACAACGTGTTTCCAGAGATGCACTCCAACTCCTCTAGGCCCCCACCTCCGTAGTTAAGTGAGAATAACAGAAAAACGTGATAATTAGTTTAGCTAGAAGTACGCTCGAGCATATTTTAAGTGAAAACTTACAGCGAATATCGAGCTAAAATGCATAAATAAGTAAGGAAGAAGAAGAAGAAGATTAGAAGTGGCAAGTGTACGAAGAGGAGAAAAGTCAGGATTGTTCTGCGGTCTTATACATTGCACAGCTTTTATACCTTTGTTGGCTGGCACATCCATTGGGGCAAGTTTAACGACCTCTTGTGGGAGTCGTTGTCCAGCACCATCTGCAGACAACGGTCACTGACTAAGCCAAAATGGCTGCTTACTTTGTCGATGATGAAATTTCGTGTTTTCTGAAGAATTTAGTGGCAAAACTTTTCCGTAATAAAAATGCTAGTGGTCGACTAATTTCTCCTGTGCAGACCAAGGCCGATCTTCCTCATCTTCGATTGTCACTTCGCATCATTCAATCGTCAACTAGTAAACATCATCATTGGCCAATTTGCCAATTTGTGTCTTCGTAAATAAGCTATCCATTCGGCAACTAGTTAGGAACAATTGCTATTTTTAGGTTCACGCGCGCCTGAATCTATATTTAGTTTGAAATTTGAGAATTGGTGTGTGAAAGATCAATATTCTATGCTCAAAGATTACTTTTTCCTTTTTAAAATACGAAAAGAATATAAACATTTTCTCTAATTTATCTTGAAAACCGAGAGATAAAATATTTCGTATTTTAAGAAAGAAAATAACATTTTTGTAATGCATAACGGTTGCTGTTACATTTATCACCATCCAAGGCCGCTAGCGTTTTATGCCAACAGACAAACACAAGAAAAAAAAGACGGAAACCTTTTGAATTTTCCCATCTCTTGTAGCCAAAGATAGCGTTAGAATGGGTGGGACATAGGCCACGTGGCAGACCATCGATTTAAGCAGAAACAGATAGCGGAGAGATAGAACAGTTTTGGAATTTCTGAGACGGCCAAGCCGACCATAATGATTCTGATGTGCCAAGTGACCACATGTCCACTGTTACGCGAATTAAAAAACGTTAATGCCTACAAGCGAGTTTTTGAAAATACAAGAAAATCAGCAAAAAGAAATACATTCTTTGTGGAATCCATTTAATGTTTATAATTGTGTAGTTTAAGATTAGAGTTTTAGAATTTTCCTTAATATAAAATGTGTACTTTAGGATAAAATATTATTAATGTAAACGGGGAAGAATGCGTTTAAAAACGATGCGGTTTGCTACTATAATAATCACAAGTAGCTAGCGAAAGGAAAGGCATTATCGCTTGTAATGGCCAGAATCTGGTTTGTGTCACGTGACAAAGACAATAGCCCCCGACAGTTGGGCTCATAGGCATTGATCGTTCGGGAAAATGATAAAGCACGTGACAGGAAAAAGTTAAAGAAATAGAGAAATTTTTGGTCAAGTCAGCGCTAATAGAAAAAGAGGACGATGAAAACGAAATACTTCATAGAAATTTCATTAGTTGCTCGTCCTTTATTTGTCGGCGAGTTAATTATTCTTCTGTTGCTTCAAACTCTGCATTCATTCGACATTTTTTTTCTTTTGCTTCGATTTTACCGAAAATTGAAATAGATAAGAAGAAGTATAGAGCGTTGTGCATCTTGCTTTTGTCCCGAAGCCGTGTTTTAAGTTGTTTCCGGAACAATAGACATTTAATACTCAAGCTCGGGGCATAGCAGGTGTTCTTGTCTCGTATCTATTGCTAGCATTCGGGGTGAGGATGCCCAAGGCCTTTGCTGCCTGCCTGACAGCCAAAGACTGCCTCTCTTAAGTACTGCACCTTGCTGATTACACATTGTAACCGATGTAGCGGCTAACGTCACATGTAAATAAAGAAATCTAGTTTGATCAAAATTCCCTTTCATTCTTTTCGAGTCGAATTAGCCCCGAGACACAGTTGATTGCCACCCGACTCTATCAACTTGCATTGAATCATAAAATTGACTTATTCCTTTTCTACATCTTCTCGTCGTCCTTAATGCTCCTGATGGGGGAGTTGTTTTTTGTGGCTTTGGTCCTGCTCACTTTACATGTTAAAGAGATGCTTTTATCGACACATTTCTTCAAATCCGAAGAAAGTACAAGAAACGTAAAGGGGGTACTCGTGAGAATTACTAATGGAATGCTAATGAAGTAAACGAATCGTCTTTGGAGTGGGGCAATCATCATGCGGTGTTCTAACAGTGCATCCGGGAATGTTTATTGTACTAGGGGAATATAACGCTTCGCTCCACTTCTACCTTGACCCCGGACTTTGCAGAATAAGGGGTCTGTCATTCACATTCGAGACGACGACATTAAGTCTGCTACGACTTAATTAATGTCGAAAGCTGTGACGACTTACCTAATGGAGGAGACTCCTGCACCGTTTGATGTTAGAAATAAAGCCGGGAGGCCTTTCCTAGTCACGTGACACAACGTCTGAGAACGGTTTTTCTAGTCGCATAATTCGAGCAGATGTTTTCGCTTAATATAATACAAGGAACGTTGTAAAATCTCCATTAAACAAAGCTCGAAAGCATGCATAACTTTTAAATAAAATTTGATAAATTATATATTAGATATTAAAGTTAAACACGATTAGAAATTCAGAATTTCACACGATAAGAATTATCTAATAAGTAGCCGAAATTACTTATAGATCGATTGCCGAGATAATTATGAAGGTTTTTATTAGATTGATGCTAATGATCAGTTTAATTAGCTGGAACACTGATCTGTCTGCTGTAATTTAGTAGGGGCCATTTTTACTCATTTCAAATGTGTTTTTTCCAGATAATGCAAATTTTATATTTTACAATTTGTTTACAACTAATCTCTCCACTCCCCAAAATCAAACCGTTATTCTTACCTTTACTCGTCTGTCGATGCAAAGCCCTCAATCTTCGGCTACCGAAAATATTCTTTATCCCAAACAGGGCGATTTTACAATAGCAGTTTCTTCAATAATAACGATAAAAGATTTATAGTCGAGTGAAAGTGAAATATTGTGTTGGAAAAAGTTATAAATACGTCCTGGTCACGTGGTCATTCCCTGTAGATTAAAAAAAACGAAACGCGTGGTCTGTGATCTTTCGCTTTCACATCTGCATGTTACATCCAAACGGAGGACCTACTAAAGATTAGCCATCGCTCCCCTTTTCTCTGTCGTCTCCCTTCTCTTCTTTGAAGCAGCAGATTGGTCTAAAGCCTCATAAGCTCTCGACAGCTGCCTTTTTCTATCTGCTCTCCACGCCAATACTCTCAGCCTCTACCGAATAACTCGGCGCCGAAAATTTCTCAAGAGGTTCCTTTTCATCATCGCCGGAAATCCTACAGCAGCACCGTCACAAAGAACTTCTTCTTTTTTTATTTTTTATTTTCTCTTCCCCGCTGTAAACAGGAACGAAAGAGATGTTATTGGTTGTTGACCCTCTTCACTAACTCTCTCTGTGCAACTGGAAATTTTTAAATGCAATTTCTCTTATCTTTTTAACCGAGGATAATCTTTATATTAAAAAGCAATAACGTATTATTTATATAAACCCGATATGATGCATATTTTTATCCCCCCCGAGCTTCGACGTTCTCCGTAAATCATTCGCAATACTTCCACACGCAATTCGGAAGGAATTCAAACCTCATCAACCAACAAATAACATTTAATGAAGTCTTCTAATGGAGACGGCTTACATTATGTCAGAAATAGTTTTATCAGACTACATCAAAAGGTTTGCATAAGACTATAATGAAGGCCAATGTAGTAAACACCATCCTTTTCTCCCGAAGATAATCGCAGAAACGTTATCTTTTCATTGATTTCTGTTTATTCCCAGTTACGGTAACTAACTTAGAAAACAGAATGTGTTTAATGGATTCCATTACGATTGAAGAAGAGAAAAAAATTAACTTTATTGTTTAGTGTCATTAAGCAGAGTAATGGATTCAGAAAGAAAATGAGTTTCCAAAGAGTTCTATTAGAGATCGTTCGCCACTCTTACTTATCCATTTTGACAATTCCGGTGGATCATAAACAAAAAACTAACCGGAAATGGATCTAAATTACTATTTATATTGGAAGTCACACTCACCTTAGGACGTATTTGATGTCTAGTGTTCACCTGATGCGGCCCTAATACCTGCAAAGAGAAAATTCTTCAGTTGAGGAATTATGGAAAGTTGCTCCAATGAAGTTTAACAGCTCAATATTATCGATGAGGTGATTAATAATTTATAAAGTGATTACTGTACTGAATTATGGATTCGATCCGAACAAAAACCCCTTAACGAAACGGATTATGCGCATAGAAATGGGCACCCGGCTGAGTGTCATAATGGGCTCTTTAGCTGGATTAAATCGAATTATGTTACGTCTTCCTGCGGCATAAGATTTTAACCCAATAGTTCGATAAGAATTAATATTTCATTTAAAAATAAATAAATTAATTATACAGGGAGCGTGCAAAAGTGGCCGAGGTAGCGAGGGTGGACGGATGACCTGGAGCGCCATCTGTCTGTAATGACCGGAACAATCGGGGAAACACGATACTCATGACGGTTTTAATGTAGCCGGGAAATTCGACCCAGAGCCAGCCATTTTTTAAATAACTAAGTCGATCGTAATTTTCCCCGCTTTGCAATTAGCGCTGCACGTTATGGTGTTTACTACTTTTTAATACGTCTGCAGCACGTGAATGCCATTTCTATAATGAATGGTTACAACTCAACTTTTGCCATTTTTGTCAAGAAGCACAAATTAATCCGAAAAAGAAGAACTCCCGGAGTAATTGAATTAAGAAAAAGTTATATCTCCGGAAGTAGTTGCGAGACATCCAAAATTGGAACTGCACTTTCTTGCAGATGTCGGAATGGAAGATGCCTTCTTCTATCTATTCCCGGGGGAGGCAAAGCCGGCGAAAATTTTACTCTGTGAGTAATAAATAATTCCGCCACTCGATGTGCTCCTGCTGCGCTCTTGATGCCAGCACCTGTCTCGTTACGCTGACATTTACAAGCAAACCAGAGTGAATGTAGGGATTCTAGGATGAGATCCTACTTCTACCCCCTTTTCGGTGATGGGTGACAGAGAAGCTGTCACTCGCTTTTTCTTCTGTCGGATGAAACATTCTTACCTCCTTCTTCCAGAAACATAACCGGGTACACGTCCAAGACGGTTTTCGTTTTTACAAGGGGAATATTACAATATGTCATCTCGTTTAAGATGATATATTTGGCCCAATGATTGCTAATATATCCTGCTGGCAGATAGTGTTAAAGGATGCTTTTTCACTGACAGATGAAGACTGCGCATTTGTTTGATAACCAAGTCTTCTGCTTAAATGAAAATATGAGTTTAAACTACTTCGTTAACATTTATCACGAAGAATTGGCACGAAAAGATACGACTGATTTATTGCAGAAACAAGCGGAGGCTTCGGGGGTGCTGCGAGCATCCCTTTCATACCAACCAGAGCAACCTTTAAAATAAAACTAAATGTAATAACGCGTACCGAACGACTTCAATTAAGTAAGATTAACTAACCAAAGTAATTTTAAGGTAACGTGACAGGAGACACGTGTCTTGGTCTCTCCAAACCTGCCTCGAGCAGCACCCGAAAATCGCGGATACGCCACCGACCTTACGTGCATAGACCGAATATATTCTCATATAAATAATAACTATAATATGATATTGTGCTTAAGAATAGAAATTTACATTACGTAAATATTTAAGGTTTTAAAATTTTCAAATAAATACTTTATCGTATTTAAATGGCGAGCAAAGACAAGAAGGTGAGATGAAAGGAGAAAATAGAAATGTAACGGAAGGCCTTGCCCGATGACTGGTAGGCTGTGGAGAGCAGAAACAATATGACATACTTGGAGAGGATGATATCAAGAAGGAGAAAGAATGGGAGTGCGGCAGAAGTTGTCATCATTAATTACAGTGGGATTGGTCTAGAGCTAGGACGGATCTTTCAGGCTGGAGGTTCTCACAGTTCTTTCATCTTTTCGAGATTTGTAATTCTGGAGTCATCGTATACTGGATTATCAAAGTTCTTTGGTTGTTGCACCTGACATCAGTACACGTAAAGAAACTTCTTAAGAGCTCAGAGAACGAAAAAGATTGATTGAATGTTTGCTTAGAATGTCATCGAAATCCCGAAAACACGTTAGATATTGTCCCGCGCCAGCATCCAAGCAGAATTGGAAGAAAACCAATACCCGGCAACATTGGAGAAAACAATTTTTGTGGGTAGAATTTATCAAATCCTTAAGAAAATATTACTTTTTTTTAGTGCTTAATATAAATAATAATTACATACCACATCCGTTCACTATTCTCGAGTAATTAAAACTTGGCGTGCTTAAATAAAAGTTTAATTGTTTGCAGTTTAATTAGAAAAGAATAAATTGTATACCGAACACAGGATTTATTTTCTTCGAACCTTCGCGTATACTTTCAGAAAATTAGGGGGGAAAGTATATAAAACATAACTGGATTCGCCATCGTTAGAGAAAGATAAAAGTGAGAGAACGCCTCGGCATCTTAAAGAAGTTAATTGGAAGCAGTCGTCAACATCAGACATCCGAAATCTTGACACAAGCGTTACATAACGAACTCGAAATCCGAACTATTGGATTACCAGACATCATCACTGGTTCCTGGGCTTTGTATAGATCCAGTAGTCCTGTCCGTTCTAGGTCACGTGTAATTTGTTCACCAACGTTTCACAAGCAGCGACAATCGTCTCTTGGGTCGGACAATGACAATATCTACAGAAGATTGTCTCATTTAGCCTTGTTTTCGCTTTTGTGAGGTATGATTGGTACCCGCTTTCTCGGCTTGTACGACATGACCTTTGACAGCTGCGGCTCAAGAGATTTGCAAACTTACATGATGGGATTTGCCGAGTGGATGATACAGACGAGATGGGGTGATGCGAAAGATTAACGAAGGAAAATTGAAATTCCTATAAATTCGAAATTTTCCTGCTTAATCCAATTAAATCTAATAACAAATTTCGGGGTGGATTTTTCTTTTATAATTTGCACCAACGCTTTAATTGCAAAACACGGGCTAGTTTTATCCAGATTGTAATAATGCAATTTTAATCCAGTTTAAATGCGATTTATCTTCTGTCATTAAGACAATTAATGCATTTGTTAAATAACATATCATTAGGAAAAATTTTTGTAAAATACACTATTTCGAAAAGGGGTTAGACATTTTAGTTTTAAAAGCGTGCAACAGATGGCACTACACAGAATGAGCAATTACAATGACGATAACAATTATCTGAAAGCCCTAAATTTGGAAATGTCCATTAATAATCCCGGAGATTTGTTTTGCTCGAGGAAGAATTTATTGTTGTAAATTCGAGCAATAACGGGAGGGAGGGAGTAGAGATTATCGCGTCTAAACACAGTACACACGTCCGGTGATAGTTAAGATAAGTTAAAGGCAATCCATAAATATGTCGAATGGGTAGAAGATCCGACCGACACCTCGGGAGATATTGGAGAGGTAAGTTGTATTTCTGTCCATCCACCGGAGCGTTACGAAAGATTAAAGTTTGATAGAGTGTGAATGGAGGGTGCTGTATATCCAGATGCCATAATTGACAAGTTTTGGCAGGAAGTCGATGCGAAGGGAGTCTGGTACATTTATCCACAGACCGAGTGTGAGTCATAAGTTGACTGTAATCACTACATTCCCCGTTGCTATCTGGCGGAGTGCCTGTTGCATCTCAGCTGCCCCACTACGATACGTAACCCACTGCGCTTTTTTATTTTTTTTTTATCGTTCCACCACCTGATTAGATTACGTGCAGAAACGCCTGTGGGAGTCTGTTCTTTTTAAACTGTTTTATTGTCCTCTGTTTTTGTTGAATATCCACTATAATTCTGCACGACGGGTCAAATTGTTGTCGGCTTACGGCTCTTATTTTTTTTAAAGTCGGTTCTTATCAGAAACGTTGTACTACTCTATCGATTGCAATTGCAGTTTGCAGCCCATTTAGATAAGGTGGAACCTCTAATTAGACCCAATTCGTCATAATAGGTCCAGATCAATAAGCCGCTATGGAGATGGTGTTTAAAAATTCAAAAGAGCTCCTTCCCAGCGACGTCAAAACAGAAACGTAATCAATTTTATTTTCTGTTTAAATATGGGGAATTCGGATGGAAAATATTTTAAGATTTTTTCTTGTGCCGTAAAAAATTGCTATGGCAGGAGAAATGTGCCATATTTTAGGGAAAGTATCAAACAAGTAGAACGATGCGGCTGCAAGTTTCGCAAAGGACCATATTACATTTTCGATAATGAGGTCGTATATCAAACTAAACGATCTTTTCATTGTTTAATATGTCTTTAAATGACTTTTACGAATTTAATGATGG